CGAACCCTACACGTCACCAAGATTCCAAAAATACTCCTACTGTGGGTAATTTGGCAATAATTCCCAGTTTTTCTCCCACCGGAAGCCGCCATCTTGAATTCAAAATGGCGTCAGACATCGATTTCCGAACCCTACACGTCACCAAGATTCCAAAAATACTCATACTGTGGGTAATTTGGCAATAATTCCCAGTTTTTCTCGCACCGGAAGCCGCCATCTTGAATTCAAAATGGCGTCAGACATCTATTTCCGGACCCTATACGTCACCCCAATTCTAAAAATACCCATATTGAGGGGTATTAGACATAATTTTCAAGTTTTTCTCCAACCAGAAGCCGCCATCTTGAATTCAAAATGGCCTCAGACATCGATTTCCGAACCCTACACGTCACCAAGATTCCAAAAATACTCCTACTGTGGGTAATTTGGCAATAATTCCCAGTTTTTCTCCCACCGGAAGCCACCATCCTGAATTCAAAATGGCGTCAGACATCTATTTCCGGACCCTATACGTCACCCCAATTCTAAAAATACCCATATTGAGGGGTATTAGACATAATTTTCAAGTTTTTCTCCAACCGGAAGCCGCCATCTTGAATTCAAAATGGCCTCAGACATCGATTTCCGAACCCTACACGTCACCAAGATTCCAAAAATACTCCTACTGTGGGTAATTTGGCAATAATTCCCAGTTTTTCTCCCACCGGAAGCCGCCATCTTGAATTCAAAATGGTGTCAGACATCTATTTCCGGACCCTATACGTCACCCCAATTCTAAAAATACCCATATTGAGGGGTATTAGACATAATTTTCTAGTTTTTCTCCAACCGGAAGCCGCCATCTTGAATTCAAAATGGCCTCAGACATCGATTTCCGAACCCTACACGTCACCAAGATTCCAAAAATACTCATACTGTGGGTAATTTGGCAATAATTCCCAGTTTTTCTCCCACCGGAAGCCGCCATCTTGAATTCAAAATGGCGTCAGACATCTATTTCCGGACCCTATACGTCACCCCAATTCTAAAAATACCCATATTGAGGGGTATTAGACATAATTTTCTAGTTTTTCTCCAACCGGAAGCCGCCATCTTGAATTCAAAATGGCCTCAGACATCGATTTCCGAACCCTACACGTCACCAAGATTCCAAAAATACTCCTACTGTGGGTAATTTGGCAATAATTCCCAGTTTTTCTCCCACCGGAAGCCGCCATATTGAATTCAAAATGGTGTCAGACATCTATTTCCGGACCCTATACGTCACCCCAATTCTAAAAATACCCATATTGAGGGGTATTAGACATAATTTTCAAGTTTTTCTCCAACCGAAAGCCGCCATCTTGAATTCAAAATGGCCTCAGACATCGATTTCCGAACCCTACACGTCACCAAGATTCCAAAAATACTCCTACTGTGGGTAATTTGGCAATAATTCCCAGTTTTTCTCCCACCGGAAGCAGCCATCTTGAATTCAAAATGGCGTCAGACATCGATTAAGGGTCCTTACACAGCACCCCGTCTACAAAAATACCAATATTGTGGGTAATTTGGCATTATTTCCCAGTTTTTCACTAACCGGAAGCCGCCATATTGAGTTTCAGAAGGACGTCAGACATGGTTTTCCGGTCTCTACACGTCACCCGGATTCCAAAAATATCCATATTGAGGGGTACTTGACCGAATTTCCAAGTTTTTCTTTAACCAGAAGCCGCCATCTTGAATGTCAAAATGCCGTCAGACATCGATTTCCGGTCCCTACACGTCACCCGGATTCCAAAAATACCCATATTGAGGGATATTTGACAGAAATTACAATTATTTCTCGCACCGGAAGCAGCCATATTGAATTTCAAAAAGGCTTCAGACATCGATTTCCAGTCCCTACACGTCACCAAGATTCCAAAAATACCCATGTTGTTGGTTATTTTGCAGTACTTCCCAGCTTTTCTCTAACCGGAAGCCGCCATATTGAAATAAAAATAACGTCAGGCGTTGATTTCCGGTCCCCGTACGTCACCCAGATACCAAAAAATACCCATTTTGTGCGGTATTCGACAAAATTTTCCAAAAACTTTTTAGGAAATAAATCGCAAATAATGTTTTTTACGTCTATTTCGATTTACGAACCGCCGGTGTGGTTCGTAAATGGAGGAATAAACTGGAACCTGGACCCTAATTAAAAAAAAAACCACGATTGGAAAAAAAAAATCTTCGTCCGCAACCGAAAACAACAAACAGCCAAAACTGAAAGGGTCTAGCACAGGCCGAACATTTTCAATCCATTTAAATGATGTTTTTATGCATGATTTCGAACATGTGAACGCGGATTATGTTTAAGAAAATAATAAAATATTTAATCTATCTTGTTTGACATGAAATACGACTCGAACGCATGTTCATAGTAAAAAATAAAAACCTGCGATTAAACTGACAAATGAACCTACAAAAACTGCATGGGCCTTCTTCGGAAAACAAAGCAAACTGACATTTCGGCGAATGAACACCGAGTCACCTTGCAACTCACCTAAGAATGAACCTCTCACCTCACCCGAGTCGCCTGTCGGAATAGAGTGAGAAGAGTCATGTGACTGCGAGGTGACAATTGTCGTCTCACCTCATACGCCACGCAGAATAACCCTGAGTTTATTTAAATTTAAGCCACAAGTTTTTCAAAGCGTGTTGTGGAAATTTCGCGGATGTTTTTCCAACTTTTCTTAGAACTTTCCTCGAACGGATGACCAAGAGAGCTTCTTTCGTCTTTCCTTGGAAATTTTCTTCAGCTTCGTTCAGAAGCTTATTCAAACACTCCCCGGAGTTTTCATCCGGAATTTTCCGATCATAGTTCAAAAGCTCAGTCTTAAAACACTGCAGCGACTACGATGTAATCTGCCCGACATTTCGGCCACGGGTTGTGGCCTTTTTCAAGGGAAAATATTGCTTGTAGTTGTTGTTAATAGTTTAGTCGTTGTTGCGGCTGATTTTTCATATTTTTGTTCATGCAATTATATTAAATTGAAAACACTACTTCATCACAATTTTGATCACCACTTGAGGACAACGATAATTCTAAAAATTAAATTAAAAGAAAGATTGAGAAGACTGAGTAAGCCATTAAAGCAATTCTTCTAAAGTCCCAGTCGTCACCATCATTAAATTTTTGCTTTCAAAAACAGCAAAAATATAAAATTAATTAAATAGAAAATACCGATACATACCGATTTTTAATACCTTCGATACCGATAAGCTAATAAACAATCTGGCAACGCTGCCACGAGCATCAAATTGCCGGGGTACAGTGGCAATCTACTGGAGCAGTCATGTTGCCCCCGAGTTGGTCTAGGATAATGCTTAGCTGAATCTCAACAAACAAATCCGGAGTGATTTGAGATTTAGGCGTAATTGTATTTGTAAACAAACAGGTCAATCGCCAATTTCTCGTGAATAAAAGCTCAATCATATAAACAAACTATACCAAATTATAGAAGAATCATACCTCTACCTCAAAGTGTTATTAGTTTTCAAAATTGAGCTTTTATTCACGAGAAATCGGCGATTGACGTGCTTGTTTACAAATACAATTACGCCCAAATCTCAAATCTCTCCGGAAATTTTTGCCGAGATTTGCACAGCAGAGCTCGGTAGAAAAAAACTAAGTGTGCGCGAGGACTGCTTCAGTACCTCAATAATCCAGAAAGTCCGGAGAACTTTGAGATTTGGGCGTAATTGCTTTTGTAAACAAACATGTCAATCGCTGATTTCTCACGAATAAAAGAACAATCTCGTGAACAAAACTATATCAAATGATAGAGGAATCATTAATTTACCTTTTTGTGTTGATAGTTGTTTTTTAAATTGAGCTTTAATTCCCGAGAAATCATCAAATGAAGTGTTTGTTTACAAAAGCAATTACGCCCTAATCTCAAAGTTCTCCGGAAGTAATCGCAAACTAAATAATATCTAGAAAATCTGCCCAAAATAAATCATAAACAACACAACAATTTCCAAATTTCTGTTATGACTGTCCCAGTGTTGCACGAAATCGACGACATCATATTTTACTATCCATTGAACAAAAATGTCGTTAACATTTGAAATGTCTTTCCACGTTATAGTTTGACTGCTCCATTAATAAAGAGACCAAAAGCTCGGTGCCAATGAGTAGCAAGAAAAAAAAACGCCAGTCGGTCCTGGAATCCGGAAATGAAGAGGAAGATTTTTAATGATTAAACTCACATTGAAATTGTGATGTGAATGCTGAAGCTACCGTCCTGTTAGGTATAAGCGAACGAAATGGAATGGGAAATGAAAAAAAAGAGCGAGTCAAAGCATTCTTATGATTCCTCAAAAACTCGTTTGCAGATGCGATCAATAAAAAATAAAAATGTGAATCAGTAATTGGAACCGTAATGGATTCATTTGAATGTTAATTATTTATTACCACTGGATACTCTTTTCTGTTGTCAGCTATAATTACGATACGTCAATGATTGCCAGGCGTATTCACTTCGATGAAACACGGCAAAAATCACGAAAGGAAGCCTAATGAGCGAAGAATGAAAGCGGCTTGCTGTTTTTGTCAGAAGTCCCAAATGACTGTCAACAATTCAATTTTGGATCGTTTCTAACGAGATGATGATAAATAGTTTTCGGAATAGTTTCCTGGTGCCATTACGGTATGAGAGCTTGACGGTACTTATTGTCCGTTCTGCTTCCTCATTGGTATGATGAAAGGAACTTCTTTGGACATAAAGCAACAAAAAACTTTTTAATAAGCTACAAAAAAAAAACTAGAAGCTGTGAGTATGGTAATTTAAATTCAGTCCTGGCCGCCGCTAGTTCCCTTTGCGTTGCTCAATAGCACTGATGAAGATGACATTGGGGAATTGAATATCTGTTTTATTTATTTTTTTATTCTGCAAGCGTAACGATGATAGTTTCTGCGACTTTGCAGAAAATGAGCAATTCACTTACTTTTCCCTTTTCGCTTTAAATTTCAGAGCTTTCCGGACATTAGCAATCGTACGGTTGCGCTGCTTTCGATGCCAAAGGGACGATACCAGCACTTGAAGCGACTGCTGCCGCTGCTTGCCAATCAGAGCGAGGATTGTCTGACGCTCAACATCTACGTTCCCGGAAGTGGTAAGTTTGTTTGATGATGATGAGTTGCATTTCACCGTGCTGTGTAGGCTGTATTGTGATATTGATGATGAACAACTTGAGATGTCTTGATGAAGTAAAAAAAAAAGTTAAAAGCGATGACATAAACCAAAAAGGCGAAATAACGTGGCTCTGGTTACTTGGCAATGGTTCAAGATCCCTGAACCTGGTCTTATAGAAATGTTTTGAACACAGATATTGAAGAGATGGATGATTCGAAAAAGTGGCTGGGGTTCCAAGTAATCCTTCACATTGATAACATTATGGTTTGTTCCGATTCATGGAAAAACTTCAAAGCAACTGATGTTGGTTTACAGCCGCAAAAGTTAGAACCACTTGCAACGAGCAACAACCTGAAACGGCTAGAGCAATGCTCACTCTAGTTTTAATCCTATGATCCTATTCTTTTTGATATTTGTACGTTGAAGAGCAAAGAAGTGGATTTTACCTCTACACGCAAAACCAATTTTTCTTACATCCAATGTAAGGTTGGGTTTATTACATCCTCTGCATATGTTTTATACCACAAATGAAATGGCAGTTCTTACAAAGGACTGCAGCAACGAGCATTTTTGTTCTAGAATGCATATGTTTGTTTAAAACCTTCCCCATTTAGGGAAACAAGCTTTGTTCCACATTACAGAATCTGTTATGATGCGAAACATCGCAAATTCTGTTCTAGAATCTTACATTTCCCGGTTGGGTGTACATTCGTTTGATTTAAAAGCAAGAAGTTCTCCCAAACACACACAAACACATTCTTTGTTAGTTTCCAATCCCATTCGGATGTATGATACGTCTTATCGTTCCATGCTGACAGAGTTAGATCAGTTGATGTGAAATTGGGAAAAACCACACCATCACAACCTCCATGGATATACAACGTTGGATATTTCCTCCCACAGAAAGGGGGAAGAGAAACGGTAAACAACGTAGTTACTCGACCGACGACTAATGCTTTTGAAACGGATAAACAACTTGTATAACACTGCTAAATGAGAAGTTGTTCCTCGCTGTGGGTCGTGAGAGAGGATTAATTAACCTAATGTCCTCAAAATCCTGGAACTTTAGAATTCGGACAAAAATCCAAACCACAACTACAGTAATTAAAAGATTGTCTTTCTCACCTAGCGACCTGGCCTCAGTCCGTAACGATGAGAAATGTTTGAAAGCTTTTAATTCTACCCCGCATCAAATACTGCAGCAAGCAGTTTCCGGTGTTCATGAGCGTGTTTCGATCATTAGAGACTATAATATCCTCGTGCTCTTTGCCACGATATCCAATTAGACTTTGCACCCCGAAATTCACATCACGTTCGGCCTCGGTCGATCATCGGGCTGGTCCTCCTCTATGGCCTGGTGGAAGTAATAATCGTTGAGGCTCTCCAATCCATTATCCAACTATTAGCATTTAGGAAAACCGCAGTATGTGCTTCGCCTGGCTCCCTTCATCGGCAGCCACGAAAGGAGCAGCTGAGGGCTTCATCGGTAAGCCTGATGTACCATACAGAAGCGTACACCTCAAACCTACATCTCACGAACGGCAGCCGCAGTTTTATCAGATGAGCCGTTCATTCGATGGGTTTATATGATGTTTCGGTTTAATCTATATGAGCCGTTTGCAAACACCCTAGGAACAACGAACAACGACGATGACGGGCGAAGACGGCGTACGATGTTTGAGATGTTGCTGCTGGTACTGCTGATCCTAATTTTATTGCGAACAAACAGATTAGCGGTTAGTTGAGAGTTTAGTGTTCACCACAAGTTGGATCGATTCAGTTGATGCAAGGAGGAACTTCAAGTTGTTCGATGGATTCCTTCAACGGAGGAGAGGGTAGCGTGAATGTGTACACTGCACATACTGCAATTTGACTTGAATATCGACCCAAATTGTTTGTAGACTGCAAAGCGCTGAGGGGGAATAGATTATCGTAAAACATAATACATGAAAGTTGCCAACCATTTTATACGGAAGAAGGGAAATCAAAATTTGGTGTAATTTTGGTGTAAACGTTTTTAAATAATGCGCAAAATGAAGTCCAAATTTGTTTGAGCGCAAATAACAATGTGACTGATTTAACGCATGCTCCGTCACCATCCCTCAAAATGTCACCATTAACGCGAAGTTTAGCGCCACGAAAAAAAAAGTCCTGATGTGTACAAGACACGACCGCATGGTTGACGAAGACTACGTTGAACTGTTTAGTGAACTTCTCGTGCATTTGTCTAGATATTGATATAAAATACAGATACAGATTTTCATGATCAAATATTCCATTTTGCTTCTTGAGACCACCATTTTAAATTGAGCCTTAATTTTGAGAAGGGCCTATTGAAAAATGTTTAGCTAAGGCCTGTACTCGAAAAAAATGCACCATGCGGCATAATTACTTTATTCAATTTCCTTTCCATCGCTGAAAGCCCGCACCTTTCTCTTAAGACCATTACATTTTGTACAATGGTGGAGCTGACCTTTTTGGTCACTTTCATCCATTCTTTCTTCAACTCCAGCTCGTTCTTAAACACCTTGGATGATTTTCGAACTTTGACCTTCATTATGGCCCAAAATCTTTCCACCGGACGAATCTCTGGTGAATTTGGGGGGTTGGCAGTTTTTGGTACAAAACAACGTTATTGTCTCTGTACCAATCCAACGTCGATCGCGCGTAATGGCATGATGCCAGGTCCAGCCAAAATAATGTCTCGCCTCCGTGGGACCGCAGGAAGGGCAACATACGCTTCTGGAGGCACTGGGTGCGATAAATTTCGCTGTTGATGGTACCCATTGTGATGTACGGTTTACTCAGTTTACCGCATTGGCATATGGCCTGCCAGAGCAAGTATTTAAAATATTTAAAATAAAAATTAAAAAATCGATTTTCTTTAAAGAGATGTTTTAGGGGAAAATGAATGCCATCTATTGCATTATAAGTCAAGATGGAGAAATGATGGATAAAAAATGATTTAAAAAAAATCCCAAATTTTGAAAAAATATCCAAAACTTGGTTTATTTATTTTTGATTTATTGAAAGTACACATCTCGAAAACGGTGTGACTTAGTAAAATTTTACTCAAAACCATCAGCGGCGGCGGCGTATGAGAAAAAGTCGGCGGCGAGGCACAGGGCTACACAAAATTCCAAAATTTAAAAAATCGACGTTCAAACCGTTGATTTTTTTTTTAAATATTGGTAGATTTCTCCAAATCAAACGAAATCTCGAACCTTCTTTTTGATGGAGCCCATCAGCACCCACACAGTGTAAACGGACACGAAATCAGCGCATTTCTTCCATTTTGCCCGCATTTGCTGGATGTCCTTGACTGCCCCACCGCTTCGTCGAAGTCGCTGTTTTGAAATAAGCTCAGTATTTTTCGATTGGTCGATATTCCGGGAAATTCGGAGAATTCATTAGCTTGTGGACAAAATCGATCTTGTTGGCAGCATACCACTCCAGAACCACCTTGGAGTAGTGGCAGCTGGCCAAATCGGGCCAAAAGATGACTTTTCCACTATGCTTGCAGATGAACGGCAATACACGCTTTTTCAGGCATTCTTCGATGTATACTTGGGATGTCATCGTCGAGGATGTGACGAATGATTCCGTTTTCAGGCCAAAACTGCAAATCGCTTACCAAATCATGGCCTGCTTCGCGAACTTGTAGGCAAACACGAACTTGAATCTTCCCGGCACATCTCCACGCCCAGTCGCGATGTAAAACTTTTGACCGGGAAGCTGCTTAAAATCGAGTTTAACGTATGTTTCGTAATCGATCAAAGTGCAGCCCTTGTGTTTCGTCAAAACACGATCATACAAGAGCCTTGCATGCTTTTTGTCCACGCAATTCTACTTAATGTGCCGGTTCCGATGTTAACTGGCATTGAACGACTTGTATCATTCCCTGACAAGGATGTTCCGCACCGTTTGAAAGTTGGCGTTGTACTTTCTGGCCACATCTTGGATATAAAAACCGGGGTTGGATTTAACGCACCTCAACACCTTGCTGCGCAGCTGACGATACTTGATTCCAGTTTTTCGTAGGTCCGCTGATTCCTTTCCACACTCAGGGTTTCCTTGTAGGTTTTGAGCACTTGACATCTGGCATCTTCAGCACTTTAGCCAGCTTGGAACCGGACCACTCTGGATTTTCCAGGTGTTTGTGCACAATATTTTTTCTTCATTCGAGTTCCATTTGACGTTATTTCTGAACGCGATCGGCTACTTTGATCAAACTTGCACCAGTTGTTCTCTATGGAAATGTAAACAAACCACTGTCAAAGACTTTCGACTCCCAACACTAGAGGCGTGCGAGTGGCGCGCGAAGGGCGTACCAATTTACTAATTCAGCCTTTACGTAAGGAGATGACAAAAACGACCAAGGGTGACAAGCTAAAGCTGTTTTCAGTTCCACGAATCACAAGCAATATGTCTCCAGAGATTTCCAAAATTCAAATGTTGAATTTTGGAAAGTGAAATATTGTAGTAAGATATTTTTTAAGAAACCTTGAGCTTAAAAAGTAAAAAACTTGGGATGAATTTACAAAAAAAAAAAAAATGGCAGTGGCATCTCAATTTAAATTGGCATAATTTAAAGTTTATCCCAAAATGAAAGCCTAGAGAATGCTGGAAAGTATTCTCAACCCAAGAGCACTTGCGTCAAATCACCGAAAAATGAGTGGCATTTTTGCAAGTGAATAAAAAAGAAAATTTCACATTAATTGATCTGGGTTTTAATGGTATCTCAAGAACAACTCTTCCTCTTTCTACTGCTACATAAAAAAATCAAAAATTTCAAAGGAAATTGTTGAAAAGTATTATGTTTCTGCAGTGAAACTTTGTGCGTGCACTCAGCGCACAAGCGCGACTGCTGGAAGGTTAAGAAAATCGGAGGAGACTAGAAATTCAAAAGCTGTACGAGGAAAGCTTCTGGTATTTTTTTTAAGATTGAAGTAGAATTACATTGTGACTCTGAAGAGAGTT